CACACACACACACACACACACACACACACACACACACACACACACACTAAACATACCTGGTTCATGGCGCTCTTCAGCCAGGTATCCACAGCAACTCCCACTTGCCGTAGCAGGTCCAACCGAGCCTCGGCTTTTAACTTTATTGTCTTTGAAGAGAGAAAGGATTAGGTATGTTAAGAACATTAAATATATCGCTGGCCTGCAAAGTTTGTTCTTTTTTTTGCATTAGTCTTAAAAAGAACATCGTACTTATTTTGGAACAACTCGGGTCCCATTTCATTTTGAACAAGGGCCCTTTTGGAAACATGTCTGATTGCCGTTATTACCGTTACAGTTAGCCTGCTGAGTCATGCCATCATGACTGAAAGGAATGACGGTGAACACAACCATGAAAATACGAGCTTGTAAAGAGAAAAAGAAAATCAAGTTAGGGGTAAAAGCCTAAAATGTTTCACCGTCGGTACCAGCTGGTAGAGCAATATATAGATATCGTGATGTTAGACTAGATAAGTCTTGTTTTTTCCTGGTTTTAAAGGCTGCATTACAGTTACTAACCAGACTGTTCCATCGGTTCTGTTATTTGCCTTTATTTACGTCACTATATCCACATTGCTGATAATTATCAAAAATATCATTCTGTAAATATTTTGTGAAATATGGTCAACTCGACAATGTTGTCGCAGTATTGAGGTAATATTCCTGCTTTATATTCAGTCAGTAGTGGCAACCTCTATCTTTTTGTAGCCGTGATGCTGAAACAAAACATACACAAGGCAATAAACATAATGAGCTATTAGCAAACATCACTGTATACAGTAAGCACTGAGATGAGAGCCATTTCTCATCTTTAATTGGTTGTTGACTTATGATCTCTAGTCATGATACACCTCGATGCACGTAGTATTTAAGTTTAACGTCCAAGTCACCTTCAAATCATTTTGATTTTACCTTTCAGCTGTATTACATCACATGCTGCATAGTTCAGTGACAGAGGGAGGATGTGAACTGGATTTGCTCTCCAAAATGTTTTTATGTAGTCTCTTGAATGGCAGATCATCAAAACTTGTACTTTCTTTTAACGAGCTGAGAACACTGGATATGTGTTGTGTGTTCTTTCCTAATGAGACAATACGATCAGGCGATAACCACCAGCAGGGAAACCCCTGAGATTTACTCCGTCTTGCCTCCTCAACTCTCTTTCATCTCTGATCCCTTCTTTTTTTTTTCCTGCCGTCTGTCACCGTTTTCATCAATTTCCTCTTTCATTACGCTCGTCTTTCCTTTCTCACCGATGCCGACGGAGCAGATTGATAGCCGATAGCTCCCACCCACAGAGACGTGCAGTCGGACGGACAGAAACACACCGTCAAGACAGATTTCCCCGGCTTTGATCGACCTGAGCCCCCTTAAGTGCCTCCATTCCTTCTTCCCATTAGCAGCGACCCAATAAATGATAAAGGTTGCGGTTGGAACATAAACATCCCAGACTAAAGAGGAGAAAAGTTACAACAATGGCCAATACATGTTCAGCCATCTGTGAAGCATAAGCAGCCAGCGAGAGTACAGATCACTGGTGCATAGACAACCTCAGACAGACAGACAGACAGACAGACAGCAGACAGTCCGGCTGGGCAGCCTAATCAATAAAACAGACAGAAAGTTAGACAGAAATATAGACAGATAGACAGGCAGAGAGATCCTGCAGCAGAAAACCTCAGCTGCCTGCTCATAACTCATATTTAAGTACTCTAAATGAAGGGACCACCTTTTGTTTTTATTATTCGAATGTGATCCCGCCCTTATGATCGCGTCTAAGCTCTATTTACCGAAGGCATCGCATGCCAATGCAGATTAAATTGTGCCGAGATTATGAGTGGATAGTTCCAATCAAGTTTCCAATCCTTCTTAGTTTTGTCTGCTTGTGCTGGAAATCTTCGTCTCTATCCCGACGCATCTTCAGTCTGAAGTATTTCGACGGCACGTGTTAATGAGGCCAGTTGGAGGCAGTTTGAGAAAAGCCTTCGACGGCTCATTAGTATGGAGACAGCCTCAGTCTCTCATCCTTTAAGAGGCCAATAATCAGCTTCTGCTGCATTTCAAAGTATGCTGCAAGAGAGGAAAGACAAAAACAAAGACACTGTGTATAAACCCTAGTAAGCTGTCTGTTTATGTAGAAAGCTTCAATAGGTTTGTCCGTGAGAAGAATACACTTTGAAGAAAATGACTAAAAGTGATTCTCGATGGTCCATGCACTTCAAATATCACACTCTTTGAGTTAGAATTCATATTTTTTACCTCAAGAATATATCTTATGTATCACTACATCCTAATGCTTTTTAATTTCCTTTAACCTCTGAAGCATGTTCTTCTATTAATATAGAAAGCTGCACTCGAGTGCACACAGCTGGCCTCAGACACACTGTCATAATATATCATTTATAAAAGAATTTAAAATACATTTAATTTCATATTCTGAAAATGTTCACTTGACTTTTATCACAGCATCTGTCACTAAATGATGCCGGTACATTTTGTACATTGCTGTAATTTCAGACAAATGCATGCGCAGCCTTTAGGTTCAGCGTCTTTTATCAAGCACTCAGCCAGAAGCTATGAAGTCAGACGTTTGTAGAGCGCATAGAACACATAACTCGACTCTTTCTTTCAGTGTTTATTGATCCCGTTCAACAGAGGCGAGAAGAGGAGGATCCTTTTAAAGATTGAGGTGCTGTACGGTTGAACACTGCAGATTAGATCCAAAGGCATAAAACATTTACAGTTTATTACCCGTTTAGGCTTTGTGCTCCTTTTTCCTTTCAGGTGCTCGTTAAGTACGACAGGGGAGCCACTTCAATTTGAGGTAAAAGGTACTTCTGTCTTCTGTGGCCATATTACAAGAATTCAAATTCCAACTTACTCTTCCCCTCTAATGATCCGTGTCTACTTCTGTCCATGAAGGCAACATATTCTCAATATAACCATGTCTAATAAATAGGTCTTCCTGCATCGTATTGTCCCTAAAATAGTTGGACATGCAGTAAATTACCACAATTTGTAGCACAGACAGGCCATTGACTATAAACATTGATTTTTAAACGCAGTTGGCCTGCAAAGTCTTTAAGATGTTGTCGCAAGCAAATTAGGTAATTCATGAAAAATCAGTTAATGAGGACGGGTATCGAGGAAACTAAGCTGTCAGTCTTACTGACGGGAGTATAGATGACTGATTCACAAATTCAATGCATCGCTCCATCCTAAATATAGGCCGTTGCATCATTTTCTTGCAAACAAGATGGTGAAATGGCCTCAGCAACACGTTTGATGGGATGAAGGTGAGACTTCGACAGGAAAGAATGACGCAGTCAGTATCCAGATAATGCTCTAATCAAACCTAGATCATCTCTTTTGTACCGCTTTCAAGAGCTCCGTGATGAAGCCTTTTGTACCAAAATGAGCTCATACAATATGCATCGTCTTACTCGAGGTAATGTTGGCCTGGAAGAGCAAAGAAGGGAGACAGTGACAGAGAGGGAGAGAGAAAGAGAAGACGTGGGAGGAAAAAGGCGTTTGGTCTTTGTGATGGAAAGACTCACAAGATCACGAGCTACTGATGGTGCAAGGTCGACTAAAATAACTAACAAAAGCGAGTATATATATATTAATAAGAGCAGTAAAAGAAACTTTTTTTTGCCTATAATTGGCAAAAAAAAAAACACCTTAGGGGATAAACAAATAAATAAAATTAAATACTTATGACACGTGGTAACATAAGTGAAATGTTTTCTGAGCAAACATGACAGCAGAGGGTGCCAGATATGTGGAATCCTGACCGGAGAGCTGCAAAGTGAAGTGAGAGAATGAAATTGAAAAACACAGAGATGAAAAGCCAAACGATACAGAGGGACTTAGAGGAAAATGAACAGAGACAGAAGAGAGCGGAGAGTGGAAGACGGATGATGCAGTGATTTCCTTTCCTACTGTGACAGGTTGAATCTGTGAGAACCGATACATCTATAATAAAGCTCCCGTTAAGTGAAAAAGCTGACAGGTGTGGAAGAGAGAGAGGGAGAGTGTGAACACAAGATGAGACGAGGGAAAGACTTGTGAAATGCAAGAGAAATGTAATCATAGCATCTCATCATATAAAGCTCATTCAAACACATACCATAGGTTAGATTTCTATATGTGTATTAACATCTGATCTGTGAGCTGTCATAGTGAGTTACAAATACAGTTGTGTAGAAGTGCGTTTAAACCTCTACAACTGAACAGAGTGCAGCAAAACCAGTGGATTGCTGAGCTTTGTGGATAACGGTAAAAAAAAAAAACCGTAAATGTTTCGACACCTCCTACGATGTGAAAGGTGTACTGCTCGATTCTGGGCCGTCTTAGTTCATTGCACTCTAACCACGTCTGCTGTACCGACTTCCACTGTTAGCTGTTTACTAAACACTGTTTACTAAATAATTTGTCATTCAGTCCAAACACTTGGTGGAGGAAATATGGGACGGGGCTGCCTTTCATGTCCCTGAAAACAGAGGGCTGCTTTGCTCGGCTAATGTTACGGCAGGAAGTGAGTCTACGACGATATGCAGCATTTACGACTTTTGCCTCAAATTTTATGGCGTTCATTTTAAGAAAAAAAAAAATTTGACATTTACTAAAACGACACTCCCCTTTTTTCCCTTGAACACACCATTCTGTTTAGTGTGACCAGCTCCGCCATAGTAACTAATCACAAAAAAAAAAAAATATATATATATATATATATCTATATCTATATCTATCTATATCTATATCTATCTATATCTATATCTATCTATCTCTATCTATCTATCTATCTATATATATCTATATCTATATCTATCTATCTATATCTATATCTATATATATATATATATATATATATATATATATATATATATTCATGTTTGTTTACTGAAGGTTTGTTGAAGAGGAATTGTACTTGTTCAGAAGAGAGGAAACATCTCTCCATTCACTCTCCATGGAGCACACAGACAAAACCCATAAGAACATGCAAACTTCACACAGAAAGGGTTTAAATGAAGCCACTGAGGCAACTTTTGCAAAGGGAACATAACCTATTATTTATTCTCTGCGTAATCAAAGACAAACGTCGACATTGTGAGTCACACACACACCTCAGCTTTGCGTATGTTTTCTTTGGTGTCTTCTATCTTCAACTCCAGGTCCAGTCTGCCCTGCTCTGTAGAGGGCAAGCCATGGCTCTCACACTCCTCCAGACACTGTAAACCACATAAACACAGAACTCGATTAGGATTTCTAAAACGGGTCCGTGTGATGAATGTGAGCACGCGCGTGTCCGTCTTACTCTCTTGTAATGTATGATGTTCTTGTGTTCTCGGGCCACCCTGGTGGCCCATTTCCTGGCCTCCTTGTTCAGACTATGCTCCTCCGTCGTCCCCGTATCCGACTCCAGCTGACGACTCTAATACAGACAAACACACACATGCATACGTACCAGACAGGCATGGGTACAAACACACACGTACCCATCCCCACACACACACACACACACACACACACATACACAAGTGCACACATAAGTACACTGTCAGCGGTAACGGCACAAGGTGTGCGATGTGCTGTTAATTTAGCTGAAGAAGGTGTGAGAGAAAGATTGTTTCCTTCTCACATAATTAAAACAGCATGTGTTGCAAAGCTCTATTGTTATTCTCTTGGAGCGAAATAACTGCTATTAAAACCACATGTGAAAGTGTGTGTGTGTGTGTGTGTGTGTGTGTGTGTGTGTGTGTGTGTG